GGGAGAGTGTATACAACAAAGAGGGTAGAGGAGAGACTGGAGAGCAGCCTTAAGATTTAAGAGATGAATAGAGAAAACATATTCACCAATGAGATTAAGAAACTCCAGGGAGATTAAGAAGAAAAGGGAAAAGTGTAGTGTTTCTGATACAGAAACATGGAGCATTTCAAAGAGAGTTTTAGATAATGTTACATGCTATAGAGGGATAAAATAGGGACTAAATCAAAATTGCCAGTTCTCCATTGCTTTGGCCAGGGTGTTGTAGGTTCCTATCTTTGTAATTTCTTTTCTAGTATGAATAAGTAGATCTTTTTATAGTTGGACCTTAGTCTTTTCGTGGGTTATACAAAATAAACTTAACCTAATATCATGGAACCTACATACCAGCCCAGAATGTAGTTCTACAGAAAGCAAGAGGAGTACTCATGAGCTTGCCACATGCCTAGTAACTGACACCGTGTATTTATTTTATATCACATAACAATCCTTTTAAAGACTATTTACTAGAATATGAGCTTGGAAGATTCAAGTAAACCCCGCATGGTTGCACAGCTTAGAAGTGCAGTGAGGGGTTTCAGAAACAAGCCTGGCTCCCAAGCACCTGCTCACTAGGGAATGCTTTGATGTCTCTGACAAAACTCTAGTAGAGAGACAGAAAAATCAATAGAAACAAGTGTAGACTTGCCATTTGGACACTTTTTCTGGCTGGGTTATAGTTTAAAGATATTTTAGGTTTATTTATTGTATGTGCATGTCTGTTTTGGTTCTCTGTGTGTCTGAGGACCACATTCCGACCTAGTGCCTGTGGACACAAGAAGGAAGAGCTGATTGGCTGGGACTAGAGTTACTAGTCATTGTGAACAGCCATGTGGATTCTGAGAATTCAACCTGGTCCTCTTGAAGAGCAATGAGTGCTCTTAACCACAGAGTCAGCTTTCCAGCTCCTGCATTATTGTCTAAACTCAGCTTCACAAGTTGCACTTGATGTATATGGGTTGAGATTTTGATGCTTTTTTTCTTTACAAAAATAAAAGAAATCTCAAATATATTTTTATATGTTTTAAACATATGTGTATATATGTACACAAATTTACTACATTGTGTATGGCATATTTGTATAACTGCATATATGTGGGCCAGAAGTCAACCTCAGTTGTTGTTTTTCAAGCATCGTCTACTAGTTTTTTGGGTCTGTCCCTAGCCTGGGATTCATCAGATAGGCTCTTCTTGTCTGCCCAGTGCCAGAATGATATCAGAATGATATGTGTCCATGCCAATTTTGTTTTATGTGAGTTCTGGGAATCATGTCACTGACAGAACTATCTCCCTAGCCCCATGTTCATATTTTTTATTTCACTGACAAACTATCAATTACCTACTTTTTGCTAATTGTAATATACTTGCTTCCATCCTACAGAAAAGTATTATGAGATGACTTGATTTCTCTCTTTAACAGAGGAGAGGAGAGGAAAGGAAATTTACTATTATCCTTTCAAAGATAGAAATAAAAACATAATTGGTATGTTGCTATGTGATTAGTAAGCATAGAATTTGCAATTATTGTAACTGTTCGTGTGAAGTAGGGCTCTGTTTCTGAGCAGTGTTAAGACTGGTCCCTGAAAAGTCCAAGCTTTCTATCCAAAAAGCCCACTTTCACATCTTATAGACAAGAGCACAAAGAGAGATTCAGTTAGCATAAATTTAAATACTTGTTTTATGGATCAAACTAATATGCTGTGACATAGACGTTTTTCTTTCCTTTGGGAAAACATGGTATCATAATAACTAAGACTGTCAAGGTGGAATTCTTTACTTCTTGGTGATCTGCCCCATCACACTGAGCTTGCTTGTCTTCAGTTCCTGCCTTCAACGCCATCCTGGGCTGCCTAAGTGAATAATACCCAGGTGAATAAGTAATAATACAAGGAGACAGTACCAGCCTCTTTGTCTCTTGGCTACACCCACCACTTCAGGTCTTCCCTTAGGAGAGTGGATCTAGGAAGACTCCCACTCTTGTCCTCGGAGGAGGCTTGACATCATTTAGGCAGGGAAATCTGGCCTCCTGTGTACCTTGAGTGGCCTAGGATAGAGTGACACGTTGTATTTATTCCTGGGTGTACTCCTTGGATCCGGTTGGTGGGGGGAGGTGTCGGTGAGAAGTGAGGCTGGAGTGGGACCATCTAAAGCTGGGGTCAGGCATGGACTACATTTCGCCGGATCTAGGAGAGGCCTGCTTCTGCTTCCAGGCATGGCTGTGGTTGCTCAGTCACACTGCTAGGAGGTAAAGTCCAAGGGAAAAGTTAGGTCATACTTTTCTGTACCAAATACTAATGCTGTTTAAGAACACCTGCCATGTAGAAGCTTCTGGAAGGCTAGCCAGCAGGTCTTGTAACCGTCACTGTTCCTCATGCCATGACTCCTCCTTAGCCTGAACTCACTCACTTTTTAGCAAACCATAAAATTGAAATCATTGCCCGAATTATTTATTCACCCCCGTCCCTCAAATTTAGTTACCTTGGTGACTGTAGAGTGTTTAAGTTATCAGTCTGGACTTGATGGATATTTACTATTCTCCTTTCTTTTGGGATTTTAGATATTGCAGAGGAGATCTATAGATTCATGATTCTATCAAAACTTAGGAGTTGAGGGAAGATTTGCTTTCTTCATTCTGCTAAGTTGCAAGTTATATTTGTCATCATTGAAGCAATTTTACCATTTCTAAGAAAGGTTACCATAAGATGACAAGCTAAGGGAATATATATTCAGGCTATTTACTATACAATTTTTTCTTGAGAAGTATTACCTAAAAGCTTTAAAAATAAATTTAACTTTCCAGTTAAATCATAATTATTTCATTTCTAAAGAGCACATTTCTTATGTGCTTAGGTTTCATTGCAGTTTTGAGACAAAAAAATCAACATACAATGTGTTTTGTGAGCAAGGTAACTTGAAGATGGTTTAAAAACAAACTTGAAAATATTTGCTTATACAGCACAGGCTTTCTTAAAAGTTATTTTTAAAGGCTGGGGAATTAGGCACCTGTTGTTTCTCCAGCTGGTGGGGAAGTTAAAAATGATGATCCCTCATCTGCCTGCAACTCCATTCGGCATCTGCTGCTACTTGAGTTATGGGCGTTCCTCACACGGTAATTTAATAAGGTTAGGTCCCATGACAGAGTGCTGAAGTTGCCCAGTGGGGAGGGTTAAAGCGCTTTCAGAAAGTCTTGAAAGGAAAGTATTGTACATACAGCTTGAAAGTAACAATTTGGTAGCACTCAGACATCATGCTTTTCTGAAAAAAAAAAAAAAAAAAAAAAAAAGAAAAATTATGTGATGAGAAAGTAGCCACAAATCGTAAAAGAAAAAGTGCCCCATGATGAGACTACATGTAGCCGTCATTTTCTCTACTCTGTGGCCTTTATATTTTTGAAAACATTTTTATGTTTTTGGTTTTTTTGAAAGATGGTTTCTCTGTGTAGCACTGGCTATCCTGGCCTTGAACTCTGAGATCCATCTGCTCTGCCTCCCGAGTGCTGGGATTAAAGTCCCACCCTACCACATCTAGTTTGAAAACACCTTTTAAATTTAAAAAAATTGACAATTTCGTATGTGGTCCTTTTAATTAAAAAAAAAACTATTTTAACTGTTTCAGGTAATAATTAACGACAAATGTGTAATGAGAGCCTCATTGTTCAATATGGTAGACATGAGCCACATGTAGCCATTAAATTAAAATCTAAATAAGTTAAAATTAAATACACTTAAAATTCAATTACCTATCTCACCAGGCACTTTTCACGATGTCAGCGGCTCTGGTGCGGCCCCCATGGAGAAAAGTGCAGCTGCTTTCCACTCTCTGAAATGTGTTTCCAGTTCCTTGTTTTTTAGTAAACTCGGCTTAAAGGTCATGAGGTCTGAGTTCACTTTCCTTAAACATGTGATTGCAGCAACCCAACTTAGCCACAAAAGCATAGGTTAGTGACTAGAGTACAAGTGACTTTTGCTAAATAAAAGGAGTTTGTTGACCTGAGATTGCCAACCATCCCAAGAGGATTGCTTAGGCAGGTTCTTCTGAGAGAATGTATAACCCTCTTTATTACCGTTATCTTTTCAGGGAAGTGGGGGCAACTACATAGCACTAACACTTCCTCCTTCAGGGGTCTGCCGAGGAAAAGTATGTGTGAGGTATCCAGGTGATAAAGCTTACTTACTCTGTAACTTTTCAACTCAACTCAAGTTTTGTGCTTCTTTGATGGACAGTAATGGGCTAAGCAGAGATGTGACTACATGTGCACAGAAATCAGAACAAGTCATAGTGGATAGTGGGAGGGGTATAGCAATAAATAGAATTCCGAGCTCTTGAGCAATGATCCCTTTATCCTGGAGAGTTTTTTTGTTTGTTTGTTTGTTTGTTGGCTTTTTTGGTGACAGATTAAAGACCACATTGGATTTCATTTTGGTAGTCATCAGAGAAATAGGCTGTTACTACAAAATCAATAGATGAAGCCACGAATGATTAACATAAATTTGAAGAACCCAATTTTACCTTAAAATCGCCTACCTAGTCTGTTAAAATACCCCAGCTCCTGAATTTCCTGGTTCTTTATTCACTTTTGAAATAACATCTCTTTGTTATTCAATCTGTTATTGCTTTGTAGATTGTGATGACTTTAATTTTTTTCTTTTTGCATTTGTTATTTATTCATCTGGTTATTTTATTTGCATGTATATGTGGGGAAAGAGGCATGGCACACATGTGGTGATCAGAGGATAAGTGTGGAAATCTGGTCTCTTATTCCACCATGGCCATCTCAGGGATAAAATGAATGTCTTCAAAATTGGTGACACATGTCTTTACCCACAAAGTCATCTCATCAGGCCCTGCAATGATATTTTTTTTTAAAATAAATTTATAATTCATCAATATCTTTACAACTTACTGTAAGAATTGAATTCTTAAAAACTATTTTCACAAAGCAAAAATGTAAGACACAACACAACTTGAATATTCCAGACTGACCAAGTTTATTGATGTAGTGTTTTAACAACGTTGTGGACCCAAGTAAATGATACAGGTAGTGCTTGGACTTCAGACTATCAATATTTTATTCATCTCCCTTAGAACAGTAGATGCCTGATTTGTGTGTTAGGAGAAACTCAAGGCTTATAAAAATTCAGGGAATCCTTCCGCCTAGAATAGCCTAGATTGTTTTGATCTTCTTAGTAGTGGTAAGCAGGTATGGACTGTTAACCATGGGTGTTCTTGAGTTGACATTCTGGCCAGTCTTCCCAAACACTGTTCTGTGGGGGAAACAGAAGCAAGTTAGGTGTTGATAGCATGTCTTTGAAAAGAATACTCTGGCGGAAATGATGAGCCAACATTCTCAAGTCACATCCTTGCTTTAGGAACCTGGTTGTTGACACTTGAACAAACAGCATAGTTTGTTAGAGCAGTATTTGTTAAAAGCTAATGTTATTCAAAAACCTTAGGACTGTTTTCAGTAGTGTTACATGCCAATTAAATTAGTTAATTCTGGTTAGTTAAATTTCTACTTTTTAATTGTAGCGTTTAAAAGACGAGGTTTATAGAGTCATATCTATTGTCTGAAGAAGACAGCATATTCTGGTAAATATAAATAATTTGCAATTAGGAGGCAATACTAATTACATCTAAAGCATGTGCAGTCAAGCTGTTATCTCTTTATACAGACCATCAACTGAGCCTTACATATTAAAGAGAGGGTAGGTGTATACCTTGAAAACTCCATTTACACAGACATGATGTGCTTGACAAAAGCTGTTGGACAATATATACAGTTAAGAGTTAGAAAAGTCAAACTGAATTAAAAAGAACTTGAGTGTTGACTTAATATTTCAGATGGCTATTTGTCTCAATGATATTATTAGAGCTTATTTTACATAATATATTTGTAACAACAACAAAATAAGAAGTGTTTACTGGTAAAAGGTACTTTATAGCAAAGGTTGATTGGTGTAGCTGGATGCCTTTATTTTTTCCTCTTCTCTTCCCTTCTCCTTTCCTGATCTCTTTTTTGTTTTTTTCTTATACTTTTTCTAAATTTGGGACATTGTAAATTTTTATTTTCATCAAAGCTATCAACATAGACTTATTGAAATGTGGCTGGTCTTTGGAAAGATAAACTTTATTGGAAATATTGTAAATTTCAAATAATATTACACAGCTTTATTTTAAATATTTACTTTGAGTGTATATTGCTTTCATTTCCTTTGTGTAAAACTGCTGTAAGCTGGCAACTGGAAATAAACAACTGGCTGCTATGAGGCGGTATTCTCCTCTACTCCCAGCCTCCCCTACTCCATCCCACTGTGTGTGTGTGTGTGTGTGTGTGTGTGTGTGTGTGTCCGTCAGTCTTTTCCTCCCTCTTTCCTTCCTCCCAGCAGGGTCTCACTCTATTATCCAGGCCTGACTCCTTTTCCTTCAGCTTCCTAGACTTACAAATGTATTCCACCATTCCACCCTATCAAGCTATTAACTGATTTTAATATAAACAAGACCACTAAAGAAAGAGAACTAAATTTGAGTAGCAACATTGCTGTAAATGCTTTGACCATCAATAAGTAGCTACATCGATTTGACCTCCAGTTTCTTGATTGTCATGATTTTTGTACCAGTAAATGACTTCAAAATATGTTCAACTCTGGTGTTGCATTTCACTTAATTCTAGTTTAAGCCCTGCCTATCCTTCAGGGGTTTTGTGGGAAAGCTGAGAGAAATCATAAGGAAACACGGGTTAAACTGCAAGACTGCATGGGATTACCAAAGAGCACTGGAATTAATCCAGCATATCTGTTTGGTTCCTCATACAAATATCTCAGGATTAGACTTTTTACTTACAACAAATAAAATTCATCAGCAAAGAAAGGGAAGATAAGTTAAAGTAGAAAGGGAATCTATCTCTGTGTGGTGGTGGCACACACCTTTAATCCTAGCACTGGGGAGGCCGAAGCAAGAAGATCTTTGTGAGTTCAAGGCCAGCCTGGTCTACAGAGCAAGTTCCAGGACAGCCAAGGCTACACAAAGAATGCCTGTCTAGAAACCCCCATCCATCAGAAAAAAGAAAAGGAAAGAAATCTGTCTCCAGTCGGGTAAGAGTGAAGGTGTGAGCTGGCTGTACCTTCATAGTTGATGCAGCCATTGGAGTCTTCCTGGCCTGCCAGCAACGCTTCTACCTCTTCCTCCTTCATCTTCTCACCTGGTGAGACAAAACACTCAGCATTAGAGAGAAGCTCACAGAATATTTTCAAGTTCCCACCATAAGCGATCAGTCTTGGGCTTTTGAAACCATGACTGAACCCTTGGAAGACGAATGCCTGTCCCTTCTTATTTCCCTGGCGTTTAGGAGGCCTCCGTTGAGTTGATTTTGGATGAATGGATGAAATGATCATTATTCCTTATGGCCCATCTATAACCTGTGGGAAGCACAGTGTTTTACTTTACTCATTTCCTATATTTTGTGTTATTACTCCACCCCACAAACAGACTCACTGTTACAGAGGCCAATGGAAGAAGTCAGACTTTTGACTGTTCTTTTTCATTTTTCCTTGTAGTGTTTCCCCTGGCTATTTTGATTATGACATTACTTTCCTGGCTCTCCCATACAATCTCTCCCATTAAGCCCAATGAAATGTATTCCCTTACCCAGAGTGGCAAGAACATGGCGGAGTTCAGCACCCATGACAGTGCCATTGCCCTCCTTGTCAAAGACACGCAGCCCCTCAACAAAATCTTCATAGCCTCCCTGGTCCTTGTTGTTGGAGATGGCTTGCATCATGGGCAGAAATTGTTCAAACTCAATTTTCTTAGCATTCATCTCTGGAAGAAAATTGCAGCTTGCTGTGTTAGTAGTCACCATAAGATACCACCTCCAAATACGAATGTTCATAAAAATCTTCACGCAACTTAAATTCCAGTTGATAAACTACTAAACTGACAAAAAAATATGGTAACAGACAATAGCATGAGTTCTGCATTCCAGGACTAAGCTTTAGTATCCCCAGCTCAGCACAGCTATGCAGCAGTGAGCAACATTACTATTCACTTTATTTTTATTCATTGTTCCCGTTTAAAGATGGGATCTTACTCATTCCTGTGTGACCTCCAACTTGCCATGGAGCTGAGGATGACATTGGACTCCCAAGCTGAGATTATATGTGTGTACCCCCAAATGTGGCTCGACTTTCTCTCTTTAAGTTATTTTACATGCATGCGTGTGGGCCAGAATGTATGTATGTGGGTCACACGTTTGCTGGTGCCTGCTGAAGGTGAGTGGGGTGTTAGATCCCTCAAAACTAAGGTTACTGGCTGTGCCACCTGATGTGGGTGCTGGGAACTTAACCCAGTTCCTCTGAGAGAGTCCTATCTTCAGCCCCTTGGCTCAACTCTTTTGATCTCTTTGTGCACTGTATTCTCAGTTTTTGAAATAGAAGCACTATACAATGTTATAATGAGATTTCATGAACCCAGTGCATGAAAGGCGTGTTAAAATGCTTGGGACAAATTACTTAACAAATTTTTCTAGTACTATGATTTACTATATTCCACAAGTACCAGGGAAGCAATATAAAAAATTTCACAATAATATAAACACAATAAAACGTCACTGAATTTTAACTACATATGGCCCCTGTGCCTGAGCTTTTGTAGAGTCTTCAATTTTTTTTTTAAATTTGAAGCAATTTCAAATTTAAAAAGAGGCTCAGAGATGCTAGGATTTTCTTCAGAATCTCTGATGAGATAAATTTATTCACAAAAAGTGTAAAATAAACTACGTGTGTGTGTACATACATGCACACATATAAAATGTCACCTATACAAATATATAGGTATATGTATACATGACACTATATACTCCCCAAATAAAAAAATTCCCTCTTCTTTCACAGAAGAAAATCTAACACACTGGGTAATATTAGAAAGATTGCATTTGGGTGTTGAGTAAATGAGCACTTACCTAATAATTCCCGTTAAAGGGTGATGCTTTAAGTGAGACATTGTCATGTGAAAATAAAGCTTAGACTGCTTTCTCACACTCCTACCCACTCTACCCAGCTTTCTGCAGGTTTTCATCGGCCATGTCTTCAGGGAAGACAGGCTGACTGTTGTAAAGGTAAATCTGCATTCTCTCTCTCAGTGAAGTAAAAACCACCAGCACATTCTTAATCATCAGGAGAAATACAGGATCACTTGCCTGCCCCTCATTTTTTCCCCTTAAGGCAAAGACAAACAGCCCAAAATTTCTACTTGAGAAACCTTCCATTTTGTGTCTTGTCTTTTCTGTTTAGAGTCACATTTTCCAATTGGTTGCTACACTTTGTCATGAGACACTGAACTAAAAGCAATTTTCTTGTTCCAGACTAATAATTGGATTTCCATGTGGAGTGAGTGTCTTCTGAAATTTCCCCTTATGTGCCTTACTGACTCTTGTTCCTAGGACTTACCTGGGAAGACACAATGCAGGTTTTCTTGTAAGATTTTCAAGATATCTATCTATATACATAAAAATACATACACACACACACACACACACACACACACACACACACACACACACACACATATATATATATAGAGAGAGACTGGAAATAGAAAACAGTCATTAAGATGTAACCCTGCCTATATTATTAAGGTAGCTGAGGTCCTTTAAAGTGGTTACTGAAGCAAAGCCAAAGGACATTGGCTAAGGTCAGTATGTGTGTCTTAGTGGCTTCAGAACACTGCAACTTTATTTTCATGGTTGTTTATTTTCATAGGTGTTATCTAGAAGGATGTCATTATGATTATTCATGGTTTTATACAAATGGAGTATAGCCTTGGACTTAGGCCTGGACTACTTAGCCCCTAGCTACGAGGCTGAGCACTACAGTCTCATTATTCCAGGCCAGTTCTCTTCTTTAGTGCAATGTTTTATCACACTCACAGGTCCTCAATGAAGTCAATGAAAGCTAGCTCTTTTTTTTTTTTTTTTTTAATTAAAAAGCGCTAAGACTTCCCAGTGACGAGAGGCAAGACAGCTACCATCAGGAGCAAACTGCATCTATTATGTGGGTGCCCCTCCCCAATTTCCACTGATCTTCAAGGAACCTACCTTCATTGCTAGGGTTCCCAAGAACCTTCTTGACCTCTGCATTGGTGGGATTTGTGCCCAGAGCCCGGAGGACATCGCCCACTTGACTTAAGGTGATCTTGCATTCTCCTGTTCTGTCAAACAGGAGGAATGCCTCCTTGAATTCTGCAAGAAGCACAAGACATTCAGGCCCTGGCGGGTGCTGACTTTTTAATATCCTGAAACCTCCTAATTAACTCCAGGTCCTTCAAGGATTCAGTTCAGACTCTTCGCTGTTTTATAATTTCTTCTAACCACTCATGTTATCACCATCTATCAAGCCATCACTGGAAAACCTTTTTGGTATTTCTGTGGGGAATTGTCCTAAAGCAGTATTGCTTGTTTTAAGCCACATTATTACTAATATGGAATTAATTTTTTAATTATGGAAATTGGAGTTCCCAGTGATACCAATTTGTATTTCTTTCATCTGTGTGCGAAGCAAGAGTCACTTAAAATATTCTGATGCCTTGAGAAAATTTGAGAGTCTCCAAATACTCCTTCAATTAATTGGTAATGTTAGTAAAACTTTAAGAAAGCAAATTTCTTCAGCCTAGATTCACAGGGGAGGGCCTAAGTCCTGCCTCAAATGATGTGACAGACTTTCATGATCTGCCATGGGAAGCCTCATCCTCCCTGAGGAGTGGATGCAGGGTGAGATGGGGTGGTTGATGGGGGGGATGGGAAAATGGGAGAAAGAGGGAACAGGGGTTGATATATAAAATAAGATTGTTTTTAATTTAAATAAAAATCAATTTAAAGAATAGATTAAAAAAAAAAAGAAATCAAATTTTCAGCTAGGGATATTGTATGTGCGTTTAACCTGAACTTAAATGTGTAGGAAAATCTTCTTCTTAACTAGTTTCCCCCAGAAATAGCTTATTGTTGTTGTTGTTATTATTATTATTATTATTATTATTATTATTATTATTATTATTTTAGGAAGTTAGACTGTGAGGCAGCCTTGTAAATTTTACAATGTCATTTAACAACCCTGATGTCTGACTCAAGGAGGTTCCTACTATGGTTGATTCAGAAGGAGAATATTTTGGATCAATTGTTATGATGTCTTCATATAATTCTGATTTAGTCCCCAAATAATCCATATGATCAAACATGTTTATAATTTAAGAACATATTTTAAAATTAACATTTAATGAAAATAATTACAGATTCCAATGCAGTTGTAAATAATAATGTAGAAAAATTTATTTTCTCCTTCATCTAGTTTTCTCCAATGTAACCCTCTACAGGGTGCTAGCATGTTATTGACACTGGGCTATTTGCATGGATACACTGAGCTATTTTTATTCGTGTCTATATCTCTGTGTATATAAAAAGTGTACTGCCCTTTCTCACCACAATCACTCTGCCAGGTACTTTCTGTCCTATAATTCTGTTTTGATTGAACTGCTTCATCTTCACAATTATAAAGATAATAATTTAAAAATATATAACAAAAAGACTGGAAAGAGGGCTAAAATGGATTTAGGAGCCAGTAAAGGCATTTTCAAGGAAATACCTAAACTTAACTAAGTGACAAATTCTGGAAAAGCTGGAAGTACTGATGGTCATTTACTGGAGTTAACCCCAATGACACCGGAACAATTGGTGAATAAACTCTCGGAACTGGAAACAGTCTTCTTTTTAGGCTACCAATGGTCTCCCACAAAATATGCTGTATGGAAAGATTAGTCTGTCAATGTTCTGACATCCTATCTTATGATATCCCAGACCGTTTCAATATAAGAGTACCTGGATGGCATACACACATTTAGTTATATGTCATGTTACCATTCTTATTTAAATCCTATGCAGTCTTACCATAATCTGCCCCAATTCAGCAAACACAAACAAAACAACAACAAAACACTTGCGCCTTGTGGTTTCATGAGTCACATACTATTTTTTAATCTTTCTAAAGGTGATGTGGAACTGGACTCCTCTTTACTGGTTTCAGCCACCAGACACAGTTTTCTGAGGACTCGAAGTCACCCCGCACAGATGCTGGTGTAGAAATGGGACTTTTAGGGCTGTAATGGAATCACTCTGACATTATCTTTTGGTGACTTAAAGGCAAAGGCTAGAGAGATAATTCTCTTAATCCTGGACTTTTAGCCCAAGGTTTAGTTTTTCTCTTAAAGGTTCCAGAACAGACCAATGACCTCCTTCCTTGACTGGCTGTATTAACATTTTACTATCATCTCACCATGCCCCTTTGATTATGTGTTGTTTGTGGTCTTTGCTGAGCTTCAAGAACAGAATGGAGTTATCTTCACAGACAGCAGTGCAGGCAAAGCCTAGTACTTTTTCCTAGTTGACCTTTAAGAACGTATCATCTGACACTGCCTGGAAACATATTTCCAAAATACCTGGTGATGAAATTATTCCCCACCTGCCCTACAATGGTGGTTTTGAGCACTTGAATATGGCTGAGGAGCTTTAAGCTATATTTATAATTTAAAAATTAATTAATGCTTAAGTAGCCCTATGTAGCTGGTGGCCATGCTAACAGGCAGCAGGAGTCCTCAACCTTCAAAATGCTGTGATTTTCTTTGCTTTTCTGCCATTTCCTTCAAACCAAATTAAATGGTATGAACAACATTCTTCATTCATTAAGCAAGGACACACATTCAAGTGTCCTTGATTTGTCCTGAAAACACAGAATTCCCACTTAGTTTAAATAGTTTACATTTTTTTTTTTTCTGACACAAAGGAAAAATAAAAAACCCAGGCCAGCATTTACTCCATTCTGTGGCTACTTCTGTTTTCAATGTTGGGTAATGGGTCTCATACTCAACACTAGGTACACTTATCTCAGCAAGGGTTTTTGAATCTTGCATCATTTGGTCCAGCAATAGTTGGCAGCCAGGATGATGCTAATAGTCAGGAATTGCGGGAGTTAATGATGTATCTACATCATCAGTTAAAAGTATATTTAAACAAATTAGAATCATCATTTCCTTTACGGCTAATCCTTCATAGCATAACTTTAAATATCTTGAGTCAAAAAGTCATCCAGTCATCTAAATTGTCTATATGAGTCCATCAACCATAATATTGATACTAGCGAGCTTTAACTGCAGTAAATAACCTTTTGCTTGAAACTGATACCCAGACAGCATCACAACAAACATGATCCTGAAAGATACTGAACAGTGTGGAAGCCTTTAGGTAAATAAATGTTACTAATCACCCATAATTATTTGTGTCTTATATATTATAATTTCTATACATTATTGTGGCCATTCACCTATCATATACCATCACATAACTAAACTGTTTCTGTCTCTTCTTTCTACAAATGAATTTACCTTAGTTCATCCACATATTGTGATGACTTTATCCCATAAAAATTTCTCCCTATACTTCCTAATTTAAAATCGAGCTTGTTTGGGAGATTGGGCCCTATTGAATTCAAAGACACAAAGGGGGAAAAAAATTAAAGTTTTAGGGAAGTTATCCAGGTCTCTTCAATATTCAAAAAAGTTTGAGACTTATTGATAGCGTCTGTTCATGAAAAGTCTGTCTAGTCCATTTGAATTAATACAAGATTATGATACTATTCCATTGAGGAAGAAAGATCTGTCATTTCTCCAGTTCTGTCCCATAGTCCTTAACAAAGTGATGGATTGGGATCCTTCTCTGTCTGCGAATTCCCTTCTAGTCCACAATTCCATGTTTCCACAGAAACTAGGCAGGTTTAACCATCAGTGAAGCTTTTATGATCAGTTTCATTTCTCAGATTGAAGACTTTAGAACTATGAAATTTCTCTCTCGAGTTTTGATTAGAGAATAAGTTTTCTAAAACCTGTATCCTTTTGGAAATGTATCATATATGATCTTTCCTGTTGTATTTAGAAATCTGTGGCTATATGGGCTTATATTCTATTTTTTATTTCCTTAGATATTTGATCACTGTAGCAAGGGCTTCAGTTATACATGTTTCTATTTGGAGTGATTGAAAGCAATTTATATTTAAAGGAGAAACACCAGTGTGGGTAATTGGACGGCACTTAGCTCATCCCAAGGGAGTTGGTTCTCTCACTTGCTGTCTTTATGAGTCTGCACATGCAAACGGCCACAGCTTTTAAACTTACCCTCCTGTTGCTCCTTAGAGAACTCGATCTGTTAGAAAGAAATTAATCATAAAATACATTTTAACCAGAGAAGAGCGTCCTGATTTACAAGTGCGCCCAGCTCACTCCCCGAGTGCTCTTCAAAATGAGCTACAGAAGTCAGCCCAGCTTTCTGATCTCAGGCGTGGCGTGGACAAGGACAGTCCAGCCACAAAGGAGCATGCTGTGGAGTTAAGTGACATTTTAGGGGCAGGTAGAGAAGCTCAAATCACTTACCGGCAATCTGGTCAGCACTGAAGGACTGCAGTGGCAAGAGAGAGAGAGAGAGAGAAAGAACTTTCAAATGCATTGACAGAAAGATTGCTCTTTGCTCTGAGACTGATAGGAAACCATGGAGGTGTCTCAGCACAAGAAGGGTGTGTGAGGGCAATTTTGAACCTATGAGCACAAAATCTATTGCAAAAGATAATTAGAAAATCTTTTCTCAATATCTTAATGATGCAAAGATATTAAAAATGCAAAGGTAAACACTTCCTAGAATGCCATAGTGGCCTATATTTAGTATATCTCTGATAAGATATACATTTAAAACTGCAAATAAAGTGGTATATAGAAACCACCTTAAGCCTTGCTGTTTAGTTAACAAACTTTGGTACTAGTATCTGAAGCTGAAGAATCAGATACAGTTGGCTTCATCTTAGCTATCAGTTATCATTGGATTCTATTTTCAAGCATACTATTTCACTATAGTTGCACTTTTTTTTTCTTCTAAATTTAGACGAGTCTTACGTGAAATAGCAAAAGCTGGTGAAGCCCAAAGGTCTGCTCAGGGGAGGAGGAGGCATCCCCCCCCCAAATCTGGTGCAATAGTTGGAAGTAATTTCTTTTATCTTCATCATAGACCATTGAAACATGGTTCCAAAATCCATGTACTAAGTTCTCTCCCCTCCATTCTATTCCTCGTCTGCCTGTCTTCTCAGTAAGCTCCTGTTGCCCAGCTGTATCCATCTATAAACGACATATCTTTTTCTTGGAGGACCCACCATGGTGGAGTTCTGGGCTGCAGGACAGCAGAGGGGCTGACGAGCAAGCTGAAGGCAGCTCCGGTCCCTGAGTGGAGCCTTCCTTCTCAGTGACTTCCTTTTATTTCTGGTCAAACTGACCTCATATCTAGCATCAGATTTCACAGGGCAGTTGCCACTCCTCCTAGAGGAGTTCTTTAGCTTTCTTAGGGCAAAGAGAAAGAGGAACATGCACCCTAGGGCTATTTTTAGGAACCCTGGATCTAGAAGGAACAGCCTTAGTGAGATTGAAGCCTGTCAGTACTTTTATGGTCTGCCTCAGAGATGTTATCTGCAACCTCCTCCTTGAAGATGTTTCTTTGCTCATGGAAAACTCTAGGGCTTGGGCTTCTGTTGGATAATTATGGACGTTGCAAGTACTTAGTCAGCAAGTATGGAACTTCTTGGATGAAATTGGGTTGAGGTTTCAAATAGTAACTGGTATAGGATGAACACTCTCCAAAACTCCATGCCTTATGGTAAAGTTCTGAGGACTTGAAAGGGCTCTATATATTTCTTAGGATTCCTTAGGATACACCCATATGACAGTCTTGTCAGGATCCAAAATCTCCATTAAAGATTATGCTTTTGAAAGCAATATTCTCAGGGACATAATTTAAGCTTGAAGTGGTTTGGGGTTCCACTTCCTACCTCTTCTCTTCATCTCCTGACATTAGATTTGGGTATATTCCCTCCTTCCCTGTTTTCTTTATTATGGAGATTGGCTATTTACATATTTTTATTTTCTGAAATTCTTAGCCAGCAAGAAAAGTAACACATCAATGTTGCTTTATTTTTATTTTTTGTTGCTAAGTTCTTACTAAAATCAAGCTGCCCTGCTCAACACTTGGGCTCAACACTTGGGGGCTCAGTCTGCAGAGCGAGAATGAAATAGCCTAAAGTGCAAAGTAGTATTTTAACATTTTCTAGGTGTTTAAAGGAATTGGCCAGCAATGGGCTTTTATAGAAGCTTCTCTGGACATCCGGAAAGCTGGAATGGCTTTGTGGAAACAATCAGCTTTGAGTGTTTGCTGGAATTCGGACACAATGCTTTTCATTCTCTACATATTTCAAGTAGCTCAAAGTAGTAAAGTAGATGTGAGATGAATTGTGACACCTCCAACTGTCCTTAAGGAAAGTCTCCATAAAAACCTTAATGTGTGTTGCTGAGAAGATGGGTACCTTGAGCTTACTTACAATCCAGAAGAAATAAATAAATAAATACCTCTTTAATACATACTTATGTGAATATATGAAAATATCACAATGATATCATTTGTTCTGTGTAATTATTAGATACTAATCAAAATATTAGATGGTAATCCAAATAATTATTAGGTGTCAATCAAAATATTAAAAAATATATCACTTTTGGCCCAAAGTTTACAAGTTGTTAAAAAAATTTATACGATCTTGAGTCTCCAATCAAAGAATGATAATTTTTAAGTTATAAACAAACTGATATTTTAAAGGGTTATTGGGGGAATGATAGTTAATAGAAAAATTAAACATGCTTTGAACCATTAAAAATAAAATGGAGAGTATTAAAATTGGAAATTTATAGTCCTTAATAATTATGTAACTTAGAATCTCATGAGTTTTGGTGTCTAAGTTCTTATACAACACACTTTTTATCCTCTTTCTCAGTTTTGTAATTGTATTTGTCCCATTAAATTTGATGTAAGTGTATTTATTCATTTGTACCATTAAATTTAAATTTTCTACTTATTATTATTGAGAACTAGTATTATACCATTAGTGAAGCTAGTAACTATAAATATTGCATTGAAATTGCCATAATGATAATTTTCATCTTTCACTTTTTTTTAGGTAGAAAAGTGTGTCCTTGCATATGAAACATGATCAATTTGTATAAAAACTTGTGGGTAACTGGAAAGTCAGTACACTTGAATTTATGTCATGAACATGCAATTCCTAACTACTTAGATATCATATAAAGGGTTGTTGTTACTATTAAAATAGAAGTTTTAGAATAGTAAGAACCTATTGAATTATTCCATCCTAGTTTGTCTCCAAATCTCTATCATATCCACAAAAAGTTTAGATTTTTTTTAACCCACTGAAAATCAAAATATAAACTTAAACATAACAATTAACTCAAGAAAGAATAAACTATAGCTATGCAACTCTCCTATTCACTGTTAGGATTACACAATTCCTCTTGATTCTCCTTGTTACAGTTAGAACATCATCAGCTGTTTGAGCAAATGCTTGATCTAATCACATAGCCATTTGCTTTGGGCCTCAGTTTGAGAGCTCATCTTCTGGTGTGTTTTAAAGGTTGGGTTTAAGTCTTTTCTATCTGGAATGCAACCTACTGTTCTCTCCTCTTTTCATACTAAACATTCTTTCAGCTTTCTTAATAACTTGCCTTCTCCAAATATTGAGTCCTTCCCTGTGGTGCATCTGGCTGCTTTTCCCTACTGCAAGCTAGTCAGGTCAGCCTTCTTGCTTAATCTGCTGGGCAGCCCAGGCCAGTGTTGAAAGACCACACTTTGTTTCTGCTGTAGACCTGGATGGATGTGTCTTAACACAAAATCTCTCTCTAGAATATTGACTTTGCCTTGAACTTGGGGTCTTGTCCATCATAGCTCTATCAGGTACCTATCCCCTATTAGATGCTTAATAAATTTTCATTCAATTAAAGGCATTAGACTGTTAATATGCTAAACTTCACAGTGCATTCAAGGTGGTTTGGCTGGAGGCCCAAGTTCCTCTTTCAAACATAAGATTTTCCTCTAACGTATTATATCCTAAGGACAAAAAACTTATGTGTTCTTTTGAAAAGTTTACACTCCAGAGAAATTTTGTATGTCCTCTGCATCTTCAGCACCCAGAACTGCCCAATACATAGTAGGCATGCTCATATAAAAATTATTTAATATTTATATTTCTAGCATGTTCCTTTAGATTTTATATGAATGCTTATTGTACAAAGTTCTAATTTGTGAATCTTCAATTTCTTTTTAAAGACATCCTTATTATCTTATCCTATGTCTTTACCTCACATGGTTAGTAAAAGGCCACATTTCACATTGTTATAGCTCATCCATTCACATTTGGTGTTGAGTTTAGGTGACTAGTAGTCTGTAAGACACCTGCTACTACAAAGAATTTTTACTGCAGTGGTAACAGACTTTTTCACTTGAAAATTGTCTCTCAGATAGTAACCATGAAGTTTGGTTCATTGGCATCTAGAAGGAATTTCTTTATAGGTAAACGTGTTACAAGACAGAATTGATAAATGTTAAATGTTAGTATCTCAAAAGAAGAACTGTAATTAAAGACGATGTGGGAAATGTGTGGCGTTGAATACTGAGGGAAATGGCCTAGGACTACAACGATCAATTTCAGGGGATGAACAGATGCCAGTGACTAGAGCTAAGAAAAGAAGCTGCTGTAACCAGAACCAGTTTTCAGTCAAGAGAACATTGGTGGGTATTCTCTGCCTTCTTGCCTGGCAGAGAGATCAGAGTGAGACTTATATAAATCTTTCACACACACACACACACACACACACAAATAATTAAACTAATTTCTCTGACAGTTTTTAAAATCTACCATTAGGAATAATATCTGAAACCCTTGGAATGTTGTGCTTCATAATAAGTCATTTAAGGGTAAAGGAAAGAATTTTTTCTTCTTATAATTCTGAGCCCAACAAAATGTATTTAGGATGCTTACTAAAAATATTATAAAAACAAGGGAAGTTAGAGTAAAGAGGACATAGTGTCAGCCCAGGCTCTCTGACAGGAGAGCTATTAGATGGTTAGAGTGAATTCATTGGTCTGAAATGAGACTAAGTAAGGCTATGTTCAGAAGCTTGGACTGGTCATCTGAATTCTGTCACCTAAGCACAAACCCCGTGTAATTAAAAATAGCTCAGTTCAGATCTGTAGGAACCAGTAGAGACCTAAGTGAATTTTGATACAAGTTTCAAAATGTGATCCGAGTCTGCTCCTTTCCA